TATATATATAATTATTATTATTATTATTATATATAATTCATATTTATATACATACAATATTATAATATAATCCGACAATATTATAATTCTTCAGCCACTCTGCATGTATTTTCATACAATTAATTTATTTGCATTGCATCTGTAATTACTGCAATTAGTTGATAGTAATAGAGTGTATTTAAGTACAACGTCATAAATTAATAGTTCTATTGTTAAAAAGAAAGTACAATCACTTTCCAATTGTTGAAATATCTTTTATCTTTATGTATAATGAACGAAGCTGGACGATTCTCTTGAAGAAGTTAATATCGCAGGACCATATTGCAATTCGAGCAACGGGAAGTGGAATTTCGAGAGCAAGCCCGGTCGTTAAATATTTAAACGCAAGTAATAAAATGTACCAGGAATCGTGAGAATAATCCGAAGATGAGTTGCAGGAAACAAAGGTGCATGCTGCACTTAGTAAACAGAGCAGAGGAAATACTGATTGCTTCGCATGAAGATTGTCCTTCATAAAGCCCTTTGCAATTTCGTAAGAGCCAGCCAGAGAGAACCTGGCCGTTTTACGAAAGTTCTATTCCCTGTGAGAATCCAAAAGCATCAGGGAAAGGAGAAAGTCGGTTTACGTGACCAGAGGACAAAGCTAAAATCACGCCTTTACCTTGACGGAGCACTCATGAAAAAGGGTGTAGTTAATGGCAGAAGATTCCTAACCCCGTGCTAGATGGCGGCTGACTTTTCAGCGAGTCCTCACCTGCCTTGAATTTTCATTAAAAAACTGCTGCACGTAGAAATATTCCGAGAGCTGAGTGGGGGGTATCTTCAAAGAGAACTCTAGAGACGACGAGACGTGATTGGACAACGAAGTCGACTTTGGGATAGCGCATAGTGGCCCCATTTGCTCGATAAATATACACTGCCTCAGAACTGCAGCTTATCATTTTACCGCAACAATACCCATAAATGGCACTGTCATTAAACGAAAGCTCACTCAAATTGGTGCCCCCGGGGACGTGCACTCTCCTTGTTCGATCAGCTTACTCCTGTTTGCATTGTGTCGTACACTGCAGAGGAGATGAAATTGCTCTAACTACGTTAGAGCAGCAGCCTGTAGAAAAACAGACACTCTAGAGAAATGGATAGAGGATTTATAGCAATCCAGATATAAACTAAGAAAATTCGAATTCTATCAGATATAACACATACACTACCTTTCTTCCATTTCTTAAAGAATTAATATATTAGGTTGGCAACTAAGTGATTGCGGATTTGAAGTAAGAAGGAAAATACAATATTTTTTAGTGAATCTCAGATTTTGGTGTCGTCTGGGCTGGTTCATCTTGCATCACCCACGATCTTTTCCGATTAACGTTGTCTTAAACTATCCACTTTTCGTCGCCAGTTATCAGTCGTTTCAGAAATCCATCAATTTCGTTGCGTTTCAGAAGCGAATCGCAGATGCTAATGCGTTGCGTCAAATGAATTTCCTTAAGCTGATCGAGTTTCTTGACATAGACAAGCCGTTTTAATTTCTTTTTAATGCATGTATGCGATACATTGAGCTTCTCTGCAATTTCACGTGTTGTGCTATGACGATCTGAATCGATAATGGCCTCGATATGGGTCTCGTCAACTTCAACTGGACGGCCAGATTGTTGCGCATTTTTCAATGAAAAATCACCAGAATGAAATTTGGTAAACCAATTTTGACACTGTCTT